ATGACCCCCTCCCGTTCGCATATTTGCTGAAAGCTTTGAGGACTAATGCGCGCGCCGCTAAAACGAAAACTCCATTGGAAATGTTCGGGATGTTAAGATTCAGGATCTGTGGTTGTAAGCAGGTCCCAGGGGAAACACCCTGATCGCCCTCCCGACGCTCCTGTTGGTGCGACAAGGAAGGGCGATTTTGAAGGAACAGGGATTGAGGAGGAGAGGAGAGAGGAGGTCGAGGACGAGGGGGAGGAATGATATCTGAGCAGCGACGAGGAAGGAGGAGTGAAAGGAGGCATCTTGAACGATGAAGAATCGTGGGGGGCTAAGCATTCACATAGGTGCTGATTCTCGGGGGGCATGGGCTGTGGGCATGGGCCTTTGTTCCCTGATTATGACCCATTGCTCCGAAATCTGGGCTCATGCTCCTTCCCCAGAATATTAATGTTGGTGGAAGTCAGGGCTTGGCCTCAACGCTGTCTCAGCGATCTCAAGGGCCGTTTTCGTTTTAGCAAATGCGGAACGAAGACATATCGAGGGACCACAAACAACAATATGACAACGGAAAGCACTGCTTATGTCGAGCCTTGATGGACGTCTTGTTTCCCCCAATCTGCCCCCCACGAGTGCGACTGCGCCACTCCCTCGTCTCCTGCCTCCGCCTGGGGGCGGGGGAAGGAGGATAATGAGGATGCCCCAGGATGCTCAAGGCGCGGAGAGGTGTCTTTTCGGATGCTGGACACCGGTCGATTGTCTCGAGAAGGCACCGGTTCCTTCGCAGCATCGATCAAGAGCTGCGGTCGAACAAAACAAAAGAACGCAGCCTTGCGGCTGCTCCGCGAAGGAATTCGATTAGGTGCGAAACTCGTCCCAAGCCACTACGCTGCGACTGCCGGAAGGGGCAGAAGGGGCGGGCAGTGGCAACGCGCGCTGTCAGTGCTTAGTGAGATGCGGGAGGCGAAGCTGGAGGCCGAAGTCATCAGCTTCCATGTTAAGACCAGCTCGCGCGAGAAGGTCTGGCCGTGGAAGAGGGCACTGGCGCTGTTTGGGGAGATGCTTGACGGGAAACTGAAACCCACCGACGTTAGCTTCAGCGCTGGGCCCAGCGCGCGCGAGTACAGCGCTGGGATCAGCGCGCGCGAGAAGGGCGGGCAGTGGCAGCGGGCTTCGGCGCGCCTCAGGGCAACATCGGAGGAGAAATTGGCACCACCATCATCAGCTACAGCGCTAGGAACAGCGCGCGCGAGATGGGCGAGCAGCGGCAGCGGGCGCCGGCACTGCTGAGCGAGATGCGGGAGAAGAGACTGGAGCCCAACGTCATCAGCTACGGCGCTGGGATCAGCGCGCGCGAGATGAGCGGGCAGCGGCCGCTGGCGCTTGCGCTGCTGAGCGAGACGCGGGATGCGGTGCCGGGGCCTGGCGTCGTCAGCTACGGCGCCGGGATCAGCGCGCGCGAGAAGGGCGGGCAGTGGCAGCCGACGCCGGCGCTGTTGAGCGACATGCGGGAGGCGAAGCTGGTGCCCAACGTCATCAGCTGCAGCTCGGGGATCAGCGCGTGCGCGAGACGGGCGAGCAGCGGCGTCGTGCGCTCGCGCTGCTGCGCGAGATTCGGGGGCGAAGCAGGGGCCCGACGCGGTCAGCGGTCAGTTGCAGCGCTGGGATCAGCGAGCGGGAGATGGGCAGGCAGCGGCAGCCGGCGCCAGCGCTGTTGAGCGACATGCGGGAGGCGAAGCTTGAGCCCGACGACGTCAGCCACCGCTCGGGGATTAGCGCGCCCGAGAGGGGCGAGCAGCGGCAGCGGGCGCGCGCGCCGCTGAGGGAGATGCGGGAGGCGAAGCGCGCGCGAAAAAGGCGAGCAGCGGCAGCCAGCGCTGGCAATCCTGAGCGAGATGCGGGATGCGAAGCTGGAGCCCAACGTCCTCAGCTACACCGCTGGGGCCAGCGCGCGCGAGACGGGCGAGCGGCGGCAGCGGGCCCTGGCCTGGCGGAGGGAGACGGGCGCGGGGGGGGGGGGGGGGGGGGCTGGAGCCCGACGTCATCAGCGTCGATGCTGGGATCGGCGCTCGCGAGAAGGGCGAGCAGAGGCAGCGGGCGCTGGCGCTGCTGCCTGAGATGCGAGAGACGAAGCTGGGGCCTGGCGCCATCAGCTTCAGCGCTGGGATCAGCGCGCGCGAGAAGGGCGAGCAGTGGCAGTGGGCGCTGGCGCTGCTGAGCGAGATCTTGGCGGCGAAGCTGGAGCCCGACGTCATAATCTACGATGATGGGGCCAGCGATCGCGAGACAGGCAGGCAATGGCAGATCGCTCTGTCGGTGCTCGGCCAGAAGTGGGAAGCGAAGCTGGTGCCCGGCATCAGCTGCAGCGCTGGGATTATGGTTTGCAATGGAAGCGGGCAAGGGCAACGGGCGATTTGGTTGCTCGAAGAGACGCGGGATGCACGGCTCGAGTCCAATGCCGCTAGCTTCCACGATGCACTTGCTCGCGCGACGCGCGGTACATGCAGAGCGCGCTCATTTGCAGCCCTGGTGTCAACGACTGCGGGAGAGGCCACCAGCCGCAGCATGCTTTAGCGAGATGGGCAAAATTGGAGGCGACGCCCACAATCACCCGCGACATCGCTGGCACGAGCGCGGGCGAGAACGGTCGAAACTGGCCGCGGCTTCTGCCGTTGCTCGGCGGGGGGGGGGGGGGGGGGCGAGGTAGAACTCGACGCCATCGGCTGCAATTCTGGAATCGGTGCGCGCGAGAAGGCGGAGCGGTTTCACCGCGCCCAGGTCCTCGGGGAGGTCCGTTCGAAAAAAACGCTGCTTGGACCTCGGCGGTGGCCGCGGCTTGTGGCCAGGCTGCGCGAGCGGAGCAGCCAGTGGGACATTGTCCGACGAGGTCAGCCGCAGGGCTGGGATCAGCGCGCGCGAGAAGGGCGAGTAGCGGCAGTGGGCGTTCGCGCTATTACGCGAGATGTGGGATGCGAAGCTGGGGGCGACGTCGTCAGCTGCAACGCCGGGCTCAGCGCGCGCGAGAGAGGCGAGCAGCGGCAGCGGGCCCTGGCGCTGCGGAGGGAGGCGGGGGAGGTAAAACAGGAGCCAGACGTCATTGGCTACGGCGCTGGGATCAGCGCGCGCGATCGGGGCGGGCAGCGGCAGCGGACGCTGGCGCTGCTGAGCAAAGTGCGCGAGGCTAAACAAACGTCATTGGCTACAGTGCTGAGCCAGATACGGGAGGTGAAAACTGAACCCGGCGCCGTCAGCTACAGCGCTTGGATCAGCGCACGCGCGAAACAGATGGGCAATGGCAGCGGGCCTTGTCGCTGCCCAGCGAGATGGGGGAAGTGGGTCTCGTGCCCAGCGCCGTCAGCTGCAGCGCAGGGACTCTGGCTTGCGATGGAAGCGGGCGAGTGCAATGGGCGATTTGGTTGCTCAAAGAGACGTGGGACGCAACTATCGAGTGCAATGTTGGTAGCTTCGGCGGTGCAACATTTTCCTGCGACGCGTGGGCACACGCAGCGCGGGCTCAGTATCAATCGCGTGGCCAGCGAGCGCGGGGAATGCAAGCGGCAACAGCGCGCTTCAATCATATAGGCGAAATCGAGGAAGGAGCCCAAAATCATCGGCTGCAATGCTGGGATCAGCGCGCGCGAGAAGGGCGAGCAGTCTACAGCGCTGGGGCCAGCGCTCGCTGCCAGAAGAGCAAGCAGCGGCAGCGGGCGCCGGCGCTGCCGAGCGAGATGGGGGAGGCGGAACTGGAGCCCGACGTCAGAACATCTCCATGTACCCCTGGGGGATTAGCGTCGCGTGCTGCTGCTCGAACAGCTGCGACGATTTCCAGAGCTTGTGGGGCATCTGCTGACGGCGCCGCGCGGCCGCCCGCGCGCGCGCCCTTCTCGCGCGGGGGCGCCCGCTCCGAGCGCTCGCCGCCCCGGCAGCGGCGGCCAGGGCGCCGCCTCGCGTCCGAGGAAGCCCGGCCGCCGCGCCCGAGGAAGCCGGGCGGCCCGCGAGACCCGTGTCCTGGGGTGGGGGCGCGCTGCGGGGCGCGCCAGCCTGACAGGCCTTCTTCTCCATCCCCTCTTTCCTCCTCGCTTCCCCCGTCTGCCCCGT